CCAAATATGATTTGGATTAGCAACTCCTAATGGGATTAGGAGCTGACCCCTTTAAGATTATGAAAGAAGAAAGGGGCGGCAACAGTTAGTGATTGATGTTCAATTCTCTTCAGAGCTGAAAATCACAAGAAGAGAGATTTTTGCACCATGCGAATTCTCTCTTGCCGCCTCCTTCCTGCCGCCGCCATCACCTTCAGTTCGATCTCCAGTTCTTGGGAGAAATCAATATCTGATCTTGATTCCAATCTTTTGGGAAAAGATTGTTTGGAGCTGTACTCACAAGCCATCCAGTTGATTCTTGCGAAGGGTCAAGTTCTTTGGAAGAACATTGCTGATTCTGCTTCATCCTACACTACGCCATCTTCAGTGAGAGCAGATTTTGGATCCTTCTTTGGGCGTGAACACCTCGATTGGGAGATATTGTTTCTCCGTATCAGGTACATCCTCCCTCCTACTCCTTTTGGTTCAGATCTGGTTTGGTTCTTGATTCAAGATTGATCATTGAAAAACATGTTTTTCTAAAGATGGGGAATTCGATTCCCTGCAAAGATGGGAGAAATTTTTTGAAATTCGCCCAATCCATTCCGCAAGACTTGGGTGTCCATGTGATGGATATCTCATCCCTTCAGAAATCACATGGCTGATGGCTCTGCACTCTCTTCAAGGAGTTACACATTCCCATCCTCTCTTGTCCTACTATTTGGTGTGACAACATTTCAGCAATTGTACTCACCTCTAATCCTATGTTTCATGCTCACACAAAGCACATCGAAGTCAACTATCACTTTGTACGAGAACAAGTGCTTTGTAACTTTCTCCAGGTTCGTCATGTGTCTTCTATAGATCAGGCTGCCGATTTACATCTCGGCTCAAATCGCCTGCAAAGTTTGCTGTCCAAGCTGAACATTGGTCCACCCCCTGTTCAGCTTGAGGGGGGATGATAACATAGTCCTACTTGGCTTCTTCTCATCCATTCAATTCTATCCTTTATACTGTAACTGCCACTTTAATTATTTTCAAAACACATGTACTGTGACTGTTGTAACTGTAACTATCTTGTAAGTTATAAATTCAATTCTTGATCAACCCAGAAATGCAACGGGTGATCTTTCTCAAATTGTCTTTTCTGTTTGAATGTTTAAATACTTGTTCAGTTACAATTTACAATCTTATTAAAATGGATCCAAACATATTAAAACATATTCAACCACATTTTAAAAATATTTTACAGATATTTAAGTGAAGACCCCATGGCGCGAGAAGTGTTCTCCCCGTCCCCGCCCCGTCCCATCCTGCCGATGGGGATAAATTTCTCCATGCCCATCCTGCGGGGAAAATCATCCCCATCCCCGGTGGGAAATGGGGAAACTTGCCATCCCTTTGGGGACCTTTGCTGAACAAAAACAACCAGCCTGACTACGGTGTGGTGAGGGACTTATTCAAATATTAGACATCTATTTATGGGAAGCAATCCGGAATCTAGATTGAACAATCTGGTTTGATCCAAAATAGGCTAACCAAAATGTGTCCCAAGGCATGCCTCGACATAGCTGTACTGAACAAATTATGTCCTAAAGCATGTCTGAATGAGTTAGATCTTAGGGTCGGCATAGCATTTTCTTTCTTGCCAATGTAGGGCTTCTATATATGCTTGAGATGGTATCCACAGAAAACCAAGGCAATAATAAGTTTTCTGGTGTTCTGCTATACTTTAGAAAACATTGGGTATCCATGGTTTTAACATATATACATTTTTAATTATTCAAGGATGCGTCCTCTGTTTGCAAAACAAACAGAGAACAGATACCGGCTTGTACTGATTGACCTAACAGTGGGCATATTTCACCAGTACCCTTGAAAGTTTCATGCTTTGATATCTTTGTAGAACCCGTTTTGGAGTTAATCTTGTAAAATGTAAATAAAAAAAAAAAACAGTGGAAAATCACGTAAGAAACACACAAAACATGTAGAGAAGACGATTGGAGTTAATCTACATACCGATAAATAAGCTGAGGACGACTGTAACCAGGTGGTCGTCGCCGGAGAAGAAAATTGGAGTTATGTAATCAAACCGTTATGCAGGAAGCTTTAGCAGTAACAGAAAGAGAAGTGCGGCGGCAAGAATAGAGAGAGGAGTGAGGGATAATTTATGCGAAAATACAATCATACCCTTTTTCTCAAACGCGTTTGTTATTTAGAGGGAAAATTAATTTAGGGGCAAGGATTACTGTCGGTATCGGCTATAAGCATATATTTTGGAAAAGCATAGGTACAGATGAAAATTATAGAAATGCATGAATATATTAGAAAAACACATATAAATAGTATATTAATATCACTAAATTTATTATAATATGATGTATAAATATCATATAATTTTATCGATAATACATTAGTTAAGAGTTCAAGACATATATTATATAGATTTTTTATAAATTAATGCATACACAACCATTATTATTTTAATTTCTATAAGTCTAAGGAAAAAAAAACATATGTAACTATTATATTGAAATTATTATATCAATTATTTTATATTTATCTTTTTTTAATTTTTAACATTAACAAAAATGTCAAATTAAAATTTAATTTTCAAATGCTTGGTAAATAATATTTTTATTTTTTGTAAACAACAAATTTGTTATTATAATATGTAAACTAAAATACCAATTAATAATTTACAAAAATATATAATCTATTAAAACTTTGAAGATACATATCACATGTAAATTCATAATTTTTAATTACTAAAATAATTATTCAATTATTAATATTTTTATTTTTTTTAAATTATAATTTTTTATATAAACGTAGATTAGTGGATTTGATAGATTCAATTTATATTATATTCTCAAATAATTTGTTAATAATATTTTTATTTTGTAAACAACAAATACATTGTTATTCAATACAAATTAAAATATTAATTAATAATTTATAATTTTTTTTAGATACATATCATATGAAAAATTATAAATTTTAAGTACTAAAATAATTATTTTAGTACTAATATTTTTATTTGTATAAATTCCTTAAGGTTAAAAATCATTTTTTAATATAAATGTGGATTTGATAGATTATTTGTTCTATTAGTTTATAAAATATTACTTTTAAATATTATTCTTTTTAATTTATAGTTGGGGTGATTGAATATAATATATGTTATTTATTTGAATTGGTTATGGACATTAAATTTAATGAAAGTTAATGTATTTCACATATTATCATAAAATGGACTTAGTGGTTAAGGATGTGTTTAATTGTTTGGACCATATTGCTAAGCATCGGACCGTATCGACCAATACTATACGATATGCATCGGTGGTGTATCAAACTGATACGCTACAACTGGTGTATCCAGTTTTGATGCCTTTTGATTCCGATATAAAAGTGGCATATAAAAGGACAATTTAAACCAATTTAAACAAAACCCATCGAGCTAAAAGGACCATATGGGAATGGAAACAACCTTCAAATTGATCCCTATTTATCATTTTCATTGCTAGATAATCAGCAATTACATTAGCCTCTCTCCCCATATGTATTCTTAGGTTCATCTTTCTTGCTAAGAAGTTCAAATGTTCTGGGCACTTAAAATATTCTTTCATCCTTAGTCATGTGTAGGAGGACTATAGACTGCTTTAGATATTCTGAAGGCTAGCATATTTCTTGTTAAAGGTGGATGATCTTCCATTAAATTAAGCATTCAAAAAAGTCTTGTGCTCAAACTAGTACCCATGGTTTATTTTTTCTTCCTCAAAAGTATCCTACCCTTCACTTTTTTTTTTTATTTGAATATCTTATTCTCTCCATATTTTTCTTTGTTTTCAGTAGACATGGTTCCATGTTATGGCATTGAAAGAAAGAAATGTCTTACATCTACACATTTAAAAAAGGTCAACTTGTAAAAGTTGGTTGATTTCTTCAACCTGATCCCATAGATATTCAAATACATAGTGGTTGCTTAAGATACAAATGGGAGATAACCTTGTCTAGTAATCAAACTTTATCACCCAGACCATATTTCAAGGATCTTTTCTGTTTTGGGTAGGCACATAGGATAGCAAGATTGTATTATCTAAAATGTCATAAGGTGTAAATGATTTTGAACTTCAAACCAATCTTTTATCCTTCCTAACTTGAATGAGTAGACATTTCTCACTATCCAACATTTGTAACATTTTTTTTAATTTTTAACACAACAAAATCTTTATTAATTTGTAAAAGAATAGGTAATAGATACTAGACAAGTTGTGCAGAAACCTCACAACTTGTCTTTATTAATTTGACTGTATGTATCATTCCAGATTCTCAATGTCTTTTTGAGTCCATAAAGAAAGAAGCAGTTCATGATAACAATTTAGTTAACACCCTTTACTAGGAAAGTTTCTCTAAAGATATTTTTTTATTCTTCTTAATGTTCTAACCTATAGCTTTATATTTTCATATTGTTATTTGTTTTTATGATTGTGAAACTTGAGTACTTGTAAACTCTTAGATGGAAATATTTTAAACTATGAATGGTGCTTTGTAGAGTACATGTACTTCAAGTAGTGAGTTTGTTCCATTTGTTCATTGCTTTTTTATGATTAGACTTTGAGTACTTGTAAACTCTTTGATGAGGCTATTTTCAATATGAATGATGCTTTTTAGATTTTTTTTTTTATTTGAAGAGTGGGTTTATTCCATCTCTTTCTCTTTTCTCTACTTTCTATTTAAATTGTTTGGGCATTAGATTCAGTAGAACTATATTTAATGTTAAATTGCTATTTGTTATTCTAGAATTTTCACCCTCTTGTGCTTAATGTTATTCAGTATGGAAACAGATCTAGATGTGGATGGAAATTCTATATATTCTACAAATTTGTGGTTGGATAATTAGTTCTTAGTTCAAAGCCAACTAACCCAACATAATGGCTCCTTAATCTAAAAATCTTATTTGTTAAGAGTTTTTAAGTTTGCCATGTTAGCATGCAACGTGGCAAGTTTCGATCAATAACATGCCATGTGGTAGGTTTTGATTAGTAATACTCAAGGTTTTTAAGTTTGTGCTGTGGAGTTAGAGAATGTATAGATTTATAGAAGGTGAATGATATAAAGCATCCTACAAAATTTTCTCAACAATCAAACACTAGAAAAAAATTGCAGGATAATTGATTTCAACAACCAAACATAGGATGCTAAAATGAGAAAATAAATTTTCCTTTCCGGTCCTATTCTTTTTCACAACCAAATGGATCATTATAAAGTTCTTGTAGGTATTCTAGGTGTTTGTTTTGCTTGTGTCTTGTAATTTTATCAAAAAATGAAAAAAGATCTGATGAAGGATGATTTGACCCGACCTATGAAACGGCGACACGTGGATGCTGACTCAGCGTAAGCGACAACTCAACATTGTGTTCCAGTACGGCTAAGTGATGGGCTCATAAAGCAGCACGTTACGCGGTGGCAAGATAAAAGAGAGGCTCGCTACAACGCGAGCTCTAGGTTCCCCGAGCTACTAATAAAGGAATACTCCAAGAATATTTCAGCTCGCGAGCTAGGGAAACCAGCTCGCTCTAGCACCTGGGCAGAAGACTGCCCCAAAGACCCACCTTGATGAGGGTCACCTCGAAGTACCAAGCGGATAGTACACTGTAACGATCACCTGTGCAGACCTGGCAGGTAACGGCCGCGATAGGAGCCCAGTGACGGTTATGCCCGATCTCGCAAGAAGGCTCCTATAAAAGCCCCCAGGGCAGAGAAGAAAGCTCTCTGGAAAAACTCCAAACCCCCGGGAATCCTTCCTTTCATCTTCTCAGGTGCCGCTCATTGCCAGCAAGGAGCCTATCAGCCGCCAGCTAGGAGTGCTCGGATCGCGCCACATCATTTGGCGCCGTCTGTGGGAAACATTTCAAAAAGCCTTTCCCTCCAAACTCTATCAGTTCCTTCTTCCTCGAAACAACCCAACGCTCATTGCTTCATCTAGCAATGTCGGACAAAGCATGGAAATGAATAACTCCAGGGAACAACCCCAGCTTCCTATTGTCTGTATTGGACAGTTCACCGTCCCCTCTCAGCGGACGGAATCCCCAGCTTAAACGTGCCTCTCACAATGGCACCTGTCATCGCCCCACTCCCTGCTACAGTCGGAACGACGTTCACCGAACCTTCGGTTGTGCCCCCAACGGCCAGCCCGAACCAGCTGGAGGACTTGGTGCAGTGCATGAGGGCCATGCAGGCTCTAATACAACAGTTTCAACAACTTCAACTCTATCAACAGCACGTACTGCACCAAGTCTCCCAGTATCAGTATCAACAGCAGTTCCCCCAGCTGCCCCAACCTCAGCTGCAGCAGCCTCAGCTCTCGAATGATCATGTGGATGCCTTTCAGTCACAGATCCACCTGGCGTGAGCCAGTGAGTCGTGCATGTGCGTGGCCTTCTCCACTACTTTCAAGGGAGCGGCCCGCACGTGGTACCGGAACTTGGCACCCGGGTCAATAAGAAGTTGGGCGCAGTTCGTGCAAGCCTTCACGTCTCACTTTGTCACCAGCAAACGGTGCCCGCAAACCGAAGAAAGCATCTTCAACGTGGCACAAAGAGAGGGAGAGTCCATTCGGAGCTATGTCAAGCGGTTCAACGACGCTTGTATGCAGATACCGCGCCTGGACCCCGTCGTACGCCTTGCTGCAGCCAAGAAGGGCGTGGTGCACAAAGAGTTCAAGTGGCACATGGTCGTCAACCAACCCGCAACCATAACCGAGTTTCTAAATCTGGCAGATAAGTTCATAGCCACTGAAAAGGAGATCAACCAGAAGGGCGAGGCCGCACCTGAAAAAAGAAAGAGAAGGAGAGCCTTCCAGCCAAGGGGACACCCGAAGAAAAAAAGAAACAGTTCGGGGGGCAAAGCCGGGTCAACTGTTCCGAGCTCCCGCACCAGACCGAGCTGATTACACCCCACTGAACGCAAAGCGGACCGAAATCCTGATGGCGTTCAAGGACGCCCCATACGTGAAGTGGCCACCCCGTCTGAGGGGGAACCCCAATGAGAGAAATAAGAGTCTGTATTGCAGTTTTCACAAAGACCACGGTCACAGTACCGAGAGTTGTAAAAGCCTCCGCGACGAGATAGAGGAGCTCATCCGTCGTGGAT